GAAGAACATGCTCCCAAGAAGTAACGAGATACTAGATCGAGAGAAGATGGCAGCGTGTCTAATTCATAATTACAGCAACACTTCAGGAAATATGACAACAGAACTAGTAACTCACAGTATGCAACAAAATAAAAGGATCGACGGCCAAATTAAAGAACATGACAGACTTTAGAAACGTCCAGCAAGCGGAGGCTACATAGGAGAGCTGGTACAACAAAACTCCACAGCATCTGATCTCAACCCCCACGCCCACTAAAGAAAAAGTAAATGGTTCTCCACATAAAGGAAATGGAGTTCAGGGAAGAACTAATCGCCTACTTTATTTTGACACGACACGGACCGAATAGAGAACAAAAAATCCGGGGGTTACATAGAGCGACAGACAGACGGATAGACAGAGAGCAATGTGATCTCATAAGCCTCTTTCTACTTTTTCAATATAAAATAACTAAGCTAAAAAGAGAGACATAAGCCACCAGCTGTAACAAAGCAGATTTCCATGAACTATGATTACGTTACGACTGGTTCCGCAAGACACAATCGTTGTTTCAAAGAAAACGAAGAAGAAATATCGTGACGCACAAAGTCAAGGACATACAAAGTATGTTTCGTGGGAAAATCACCAGGCCTTACCCACCTTGCCAGTACTGTAACATACACACAGAAATATAAATATATGGTCAGTGGAGAAAGGTCGAACAGCAACCTTAAAGGCCTCATCTACGAAGAAATACAGAACACGGACTGCTTCGTAGTGTAAAAAGAATTAAGGCTTACCTTAAAACACATACACGGCGAAGGCCCATTCGCCGGCAAGGAAACTCGCTGGACAAAACATACCCAATTTAATTTAAGCACTCTGAACTAATCAGCAGGATCCAAACCGAATGTAGACACGTCATAACCGCAAGGCTTCCTGCCAGCATTCGCTCCAAACCTAGAGCACTTGGATACAGGAAAAGCGGCACTGATCAGAGCAGCCAGTTCACCTCAAGTTACGTGACCTTAACGTGAGCGGAAGTAACTGGAATCAGAGATGGATGGACAGCACGGAACAAAACACGGCAAGCGGAAACCGGAACCCGGAACCGGAACTGGTAGGCCGCGAACGACTCACAACTGCATAGGCTATGAGCATCATTTGATGAAACCTGGGCATGCATCTCGATACAAGACTGACGAGGGCAAAGCACAAGAAATTAAAAAAGGAACAGCTCAACCAAAAAGCGAAACAATGTACTGGCTACTCGCTAAAAGTTCAACAGAAGCAGACTCCTATACAAAGCAATACTCAAACCCATACGGATCTATGGAATTCAGCTATGTGGGACAGCCTACAATTCCAACATCGAAATCCTCCAGCGCTTTCAATCCGAGATCCCCGATCCATTCTGAACGCACCTTGGTACATAAACAGCCACAGGATCCATGAAGATCTACAATTGAACACAGTGCTCAGTGGAATATCAAATAATTAAGAAAATCAGAAAACCACACTAACGCACTAGACAATAACGAAACTACACATAGACTGAAGATACACCGGCCTAACTCGACCAGAAAGACCTGAGTAAAACCTAAATATAAGAATTAAAATGATACCTAAGTAAAAAAAAATATATGATTTACGCCACTGGGCATAACTCCTTCACAAGTCAGTACTTATTGAACACATACATTTATTGCAGATTCTGCAGACTGTGTATACTAAATGTTAAAAAGCACAATGCCTCACTTCCGGAAGCGACAGAGGGCAGGCTACAAGAACCTCAGCCAGCAGATACTAGGGAGGGGTTTTCGCGATATAAGGAGTTGTGCTCACAATGCAACGTTCGCTGATTACTAAATTGATATGTTATTCAATAATTTTAAAAAGCAGTTTGCTCCATAACTGAATAACAAGCGTGTGCTCTGATGAAACATGCAGCGATCATAATTGCGGCGAGCAGTGTAATTCTACGACCGCCATATTTTGCTGTGCAGGTCCATGCAGCCTGACGCCTAATATGAGAATCTATGTTCATTTCATATCGCGTTTCCCCGGATGCCTAAATTTATGGTCCAATTTAACCCCCAAATCCGTTTCCGTTATGAATCCATGATCCCTATTTGTTATAACTTCATTTCGCATGTAAACGACATGATCGTGACTGCGCATTATCTTGGCGCACGCCGATGAAATGTGACTGCAATTAAGTGTAAGTGTCGAGTTCGTGCTCCGGCCAGAACGGACTCTTTATTACTATCGTTCGGAAGCACTACGAACCGTGATGAGAAGCCCTGTCGCTTAGTCAGTGTCTTGGGTTCGACTCGCATCAATGCTGACGTCAGTTCGGCGGGTGCGAGAACATATGCCAAATTTCATACACGTATAGAGTTTGGCGTAGCGTCGTAATGGGACGTTCTTACCTGTTCCAGGCCCAAGAATATCTTAATATACATGTATTTACATATGTAAACATTTGTATATGTATGACCAACATGTAGTTCAGTATTCACACATCACGAGGAACACAACAAGAGCCAGACAGTGGCGTTGAACAAAACGTGTAGTCGAATGGCCTTCCAGCAAAGCTATCATATTTCGTGTAAGGAAACAAAATTATTTATATTTAATCTGTTTAGTGGCTTACATAATGACTCATCTTCAACTGAATTTTACATATTGTCTAACACTTCCCCTCCTTTGGCACTACAGCCCCAGTTAGCCTAGGCCTACCTCCATGAACTCCGTTCGCTTTGGTTTTTCTAGATCTTACACATGCGGTAGGACTCCTTGGGCGAGTGATAAGCTCGTCGCAAGGCCTCTACCTGTACACAAACACAGAAAAATGCACACAAACATCCATGCCCTGAGTGGGATTCGAAGTCTAACACTTCAATAAGTGCGAATGTCTGTAAAGGACACGTTAGGAAGTGAGTTAAGGCGGTATTTTAGCAATTTCCCGGACTACTCAAAAACTATAAGGAATCTGAGAAAGTGCAGTCAATATTCTTTTACTTAAGATCGATATCTCCCGAATAAGAAGTGTGAGGCCTAACCAGTACGGTTCCTCTAATGTGAAGGAAGCTATGCTCTAAATAAGAATGCAATGGTTAACTAGAAAGACCAAAAGAAAGAGAGTGAATTTCTATGACGTCGCAATTAATGATTTACGAACAGACAAAAGAACGGAGCTATTGAAATTATACGTGAAAAGCGTCGGTAGCAATAGAATCATCATAAAATATATTAGGTATGGACCTATGGAAATGACAGTAAGTGATAAAACTTTAAATTAGATTAAGTTTTCGGGGAATAAGCAAAATTCTCGCAATTCTCGCGAACAGGACCAGCTCTGTCTGTCTGTGAGCATGCCTGTGTGCAATTCAGTCAACAGCGCGATGGAAGTCCACGTAGCCAGAAGGTCTATTTCCGATTCTTTATGTCCATAAAATTCGAGCTGTAAACTAAATTTAATGGTTCATAACTGTTTCACCTCGTTAGGATATTTACGACCTCATGTTACACAATGTAGTCTGAAGTGCTCTAACCTTTCCAGTCTCTTTTGAATTTAAAGCGGAGCATAAATATGCAATGCAGTTTACAAACGTCTTCTTTCGAAATGCTTACTTCGCTATTTTGCATATCTCGCCTTTTTTCTTTTTCATTAATCACAGATAAAAGAGTGCTAATCTGCAGTAGAAACACAACATTCGATAAAGTCGTAAATTTTATAAGTAAAAAGCTAATCATTGTTATACAGCATACGCCACTGTTACCTGCAGTTCATTTTGTTGTATATTTCAACTGTAGCTATGAGAGACCGTCTTCGCTCACTCGAACACTGGTATCGTGTGTTCGAATCCCACTCAAGGCACGGATATGTCTGCATTTTTCTTTGTTTGTGTTGTCCTGTGTAAGTAGCTGCATCGCGAGGACTGATCCCCTTCCAAGGGGTCCTACCGACTCTCTTATGATTAAGAAACTGAAGTGAAACAAAGCGATTCATGGATGCCCTGTGCTCCCAAGTGGGAGCAACAGGAAAGAGAGAGAGAGATGAGAGAAATTATTCGACGAAGTTGCGTAATTTGTGTGCAGTTAGCTGTTATTCAGATCCGACTGTTTTGAATCTCGGTATGGATATTATACCACCAGCGTAAGCCTATGGAATGGGTACCGAGGGCTGTTTTATCGGTGATTGAAGCTGACAGCTCACCCCCATCCAGTGAAAAGGTTAGGTATGCCAGGACTTACACGCCCGTTCCTTCATATATCTTCATGGCGAGATGCCTAATTGAAAATCGGGAATTACCTAATGTAAGGCATGCTTGTTCAAATGAGGAAACCACAACAAGTAGCAATTGTAACCAGAGTCGAAATAGATACTCGAACCTGCCGCGTACCCTCGCCCCCCCTTTTTGTTATGGCAGCAAAATGTTCCACTAATGCCACGTTAGAATCACTGAATATTTACGGAATGGACTGAATTTTTAGTTTATCAGGTGGGTGTGTGTATACAGCATATATCGTCCATTAGGACTGACGTTTGTTTCGGAAAAGAGACTGTAATTTGGGTCATTTCTTAACATATGAATAATTGTTTTATTAATAACGAGAGCTCTTGAGTTTAATTACGTTCCTTGCGGTGGGGTGAGACTGAGTCCACTTGGTACGGCAGACATTGTTTGGCCTATTGTAGAACAGTTAGTGGCATGAAAATTGGGAGGGAAAACCGAAGTAAACCTGTCCCAGCGCCACTTTGTCCACCACAAATCTCTCATAACCTGACCCGGGCTCGAACCCGGGCCGCCGCTGTGGGAACCCGAGGAGTAACCGACTGACTTCTCTTTCTTGTAAATATCAAAAGTCATTTTTAATTTTGGCATTTGAATTATGAAATTTTCACTCTCCCTCTCTGCTGCATGTTGCTACGAGTACAACCACCGCATTTGCATCGTTAGAAGTGGGTCACGTGTCACATCATTGCGGACCGCGTACTCTGATATCAGACTCAGTGTAACCTGTCCTTACACTTCCTCGTTCTTGATTATTTTAATGACGAAACATGTTGAAAGTTGCGCTCTTACAGTGTGCATGAATACATTCTTTAGAATGTAATTAAAAACTCATGCTTCTGACAAAGTTATTTGGCTTAAAACAAATTTAACAATTATTTCAAATACCATCCTTACGACCTTCATATTGCCAATAAATACGAAGAAATTATCCAGTAACTTGGGTATCCCAAGAAAGAATTCTGAAAGTGATTTAATGTTGAATAGACTGTACTTTCCGGAAACTGGTACTTGAATCAAGAATCTTCAAAGGAATGCCGGATCAATAAATATCAGTGAGCATAAAATAGGTCTATAAGATAAAACAATAGAGTACTACACAACATTAGAATTCTCTTGCCTTGCATAGCAGTATTTTTTACGGAAAGTATGCGCAGTTGGACAGAAATTAACATGACAACCTCATTATTGAGAGTAGCAAAATATACTGTAGCCGTGAGACTTGACAGAGGTACCATTTAGAACGATAAGACATGATATGATCGATATGACGTCTCGTTGTGTCATCCTTCAATCAATGCTTGACGTTCGAAATATACTGAAAACACAACTGTTTATGAAATAACCACTGATTATGTGAACGGTTGGCAAGGCGTTTCTTCGGACGACACTTCAGTGTGGCAAGTGTTGCTCACGATGTCTTCCTGGCGGCAATTCTTCTGAGGATTCTGGCAAGTCTTCCTACGTCCAACGCGCCTGAAGCCGTGTCTAACTCATCGTTAGACGAATTGTGACAGCTTTCTCGTATTGATGTAGCCTCCAGCAATAACATCTGAAACAGCAAGTAAGCGGTCCCCCTGTACAAATACTATATGTAACAGTATGCAGGAAATCGTCCTCCACTAAGACGACTTGGAGCAGTGGGCAGGCAACTGCTCTCCACTAAGAACATTTGAAAGAGTACGCAGACAGTCGCCCTCCACTAAGAACACCTGAAAGAGTACGCAGACAGTCGCCCTCCACTAAGAACACCTGAAACAGTATGCAGACAGTCGCCCTCCACTAAGAACACATGAAACAGTACGCAGACAATCGCCCTCCACTAAGAACATCTGAAACAGTACGCAGACTGTCGCCCTCCACTAAGAACACCTGAAACAGTACGCAGACTGTCGCCCTCCACTAAGAACACCTGAAACAGTACGCAGACAGTCGCCCTCCACTAAGAACACATGAAGCACTATGCAGGCAGACGCAATTGTAATCCGCGAAATTTTCCTTTAAGGAAAGACAGCAAGTCAATGCATTTGTGAACTGAGAAGAACACTGCTGGTTAGGGAGGGGTTGTCCTCCATTGCGCAACATGTCACAATAATATCTGTTCCTTTATATGCCTGGAAAACAGAAAGAAGGTATCATGAAGGGATATTCCCACTTTCATGGGGTTGTTGAAATCCATTTATTTTTAGATTTAATAACTTACCTATTTTACTAAAAAGCAGCGAACATCTATAAAATTTTGAGTCGTTTTGTTATATAGCTACATAGTTGTATATCATTTCAAGGTTTAAAAAAAATAAAATGATCAAAACAAGTCAACAAACGAAGCAGTTTAAAACTGCCAGGTTATTTCGGTAAGGGGTTAGAGTCCAGCCCGTGTCGATACAATATTTGACACTCAAAATTACATTATCAATTATACCCTGAAATCGGGCAAATGTTTCGAGGAATATCCTATATTATCCGTTGATATGAAACCTGGAGGTACATCAAAAGTTTTAAGAGAACTAGTAAATGGATTTTGTCCTAAGCCAGCATAATCCACTTCACAGTTTCCGAATCTATATTCAGAAAATCTATTTTAATAATATCCAATGCTCTATGTCTGAGACCAATGTGATAATTTCTCTTGAGTTTTTCCAACAAGAATATTTTATCTTCGTTTAAGATATTCCCGTAATTTGGATAGGACCTAATGTAATATCCATAGCGAACTTATGGTGTTCTGATTTGAAACGTTAAGAAGCAAATACTGTCCCCTTACCTGCGCAATTACGAGCATGAAGATGATAACCACTTCCACTTTAGCGTCCATCATGCACTGCGCTCCTTCTTCCTGCAAAACAGAATACCGCAAGTGTGAGAAGCTTTTCCAAGTGTGGAAAACAGGTTTCGTAGCTGACATATTGTGTAGAGTTCTCTTATTGTTTTCACGAAGTACAGTGTTACTATTAAAAATGTTGTGTCGCAAAGTCATATTGTGTTTTACTGGGGTATTATACCACAATCACTGTCTTCGCTCGCTCGGAAGCCGGGATCGTGGGTTCGAATCCCACTCAGGGCATGGATGTTTGTGTGCGTTTTTCTGTGTTTGTCTGCAAGTAGAGGCCTTGGGACGAGCTGATCACTCGCCCAAGGAGTCCTACCTTAAGTGTAAGATCTAGAAAAACCGAAGTGAACGGAGTTCATGGAAGTAGGCCTAGGCCCACTGGGGCTGTAGTGCCAAGGGGGGGGGGAGGATTATACCACAATATGGAAGATATCAGATGTAAGCATTGATCAACGTAAAGAGGAGTAGTTATGGTAACAGACAAGGTAGGTTACTTGATGGTAGCCTATGGGTTGAACAATGTAGTAGCAAATACTTGACTTATGGTATATAAAGTTGTGTTGGCAGAGATAAACACATTTTTTTAGCTAAAATTCCTTATTTTATAAAGTGGAACAACCTCTCCGCCATCTGTGAGCCGACTGTATAGAAAATGCGGGAGCCTCGACGTCTCACAACCCTATGGGCCTCCACGGCCTCTTATAGGATAGCTGTACCTTTACTTTGCTGATGCGTAGTCTATATACCTCTATATGAAATGTTGAGATTGCAAGTCACCGTACCACTACAGCCATTTGTCCACTGGACTATCCGGCGATGCTACGTACGTTACAGCTATTATTTAGCGCCCAAAACTACTATTAGTGAGACGTGGAATGCACTGAAGGGACGCGACTGTGATCCGCGTTTTCGTAATTTGCTTTGAAGGTAAAGGTAAAGGTAAAGAAGTTATCTCTGTAACAGGCCATGGAAGCCCATAGGGTTGTGAGGCGTCGAGGCTTCCAATTTTATAGACAACAGGCTCACAGATGGCGTTGAGGTTGTCAGCCCTACCAGTTGGCCTCTCTTTACCTGCAGGAAAATTCCTGGTACTCACTTCTGTTAGAAGCTGAGTCGACCTCAGGGCCATAGAGTGGCTGGAAGGATTAGGTAAACTGAAATAATCGAGTGACCTTTCGGCTTGTAGCAAAGTGCCTAAACCAACTACGCTACTGCGTGCTCCATTTATCTCGAAGGACTGAATAAATATAAGGAAAATCTGTCCAAGCTGAAACGTGTAATTACATTCTCGATGAATAGAAGCTGCTCTTTGATGGGAGTAGAAACAGGGTATGTCTATTGCTTGTGTATTACATAACGTGATATATGGGGATATAGCTTGGGCTGGACTGGGGAGTTGTACTCCAAACTATTCCACGTACTTGATATGTACGCACAAAACAGTCTTCAGAGCAATACCACACTCTATTGGTTCGATCACCACTTACTCAACACAAAAATACTCTATTATATGTATGTGTATTAAGTGATTAAATTGGTTGCAGCAGAATGCTTACGTGAAATATTATAACAGTTATCCACATCCGCTCTTTTCACTTCTGTAAACCTTCTGTTCTCCATACTTACCTCTCCAGGTATGTGTATGTTCATGCAACACTGTTTACACTGCGTACGAGAGTAAATTATATTTATCTCGTATCATTAAAGGTACAGAAGCTGACAAATATTTCAATAATTGTAGAGCAGCTTGTGGCTTTCTGGATTGAGGGACTGTGTAAGTTTTTAAGTGGGGTTCCGAAATTTCGGAGCAGTTATGTTGCTTCGGTCTTCACAGTTGAAGCATGTACGTGCGTACAAGAAATTTATATAAGATGTCTGAGACCAGAAAACCATAGTCTGAACAGTAACCGCTTTGAAAAATTTAAATTTCATAACACAGTAGATCTATGTTATAACCAGATTTTTTGGCATAAATAACATTTTCATAAGAATGAACTGTTTTTCGGAAAAAAAGAATAAAAACATAACTTTCTTGAGCTGCGTGTAAAGTAGTTAACCAAAATTACATTTACCCGTGGACTTCTAACTTGTTATTTAATACAATTCCTGTTAAGTAGAGTCGGAGACGAAACACACGCGCATGCGCGGGCACGCTACATTTACAACTCATAAAAACNGGTACAGTATACACCATCGTCAGAATCCTTTCAAATATATGTTGATACATGCAATATAAGATGCGTATTTTACAGATTTTCTGCCCTTTGAAAAACTGAGGTGCGTCCGAAATTCGAGAAATATTCGCATTTCTAATTTTCTTTTCCTTTGAAATCCATGTTACAAAACTGGGCGAGTCTTGAACTCGAGAGCGTCTTACATTCGAAGTAATACAAAATACAACATTTAATGTACAGCAATGATTAATGTGGCACTTACTACAGATGTTTCCGAACTTTCTGCTGTACTCGAGCGTTTAAAAAAATACACGTATATTATCGGCTGATTCCCTCAAGATTTCCAGAACGTGACACCAAGCCTCAGCGGGTGTGACCTACCGTCAACTGAAACCTCTTGACTGCAGACGCACGTAAATTCCGACCTCAGTGGACTTGGAAAGTTTACAACTCATCTGGAGGTTATTCAACCGCAACGTCCTGTTATGAATTTGTGAGGGAAGATAACGCTATATATCAATACACGTGGTGGTGAGTGTGGTCACTATCAGCGTATCATCTGGGTCTGCAGATGGAAATGGAAACGTAAGCCATAGCGTGATATTTTGGGATATGACGCAGTGTAGTCTGGTAGAGATTTACCGCAGTTTCGGAGAAACATACCACCTCCAACTTCAGTGCCGAATATTAAGCCGTGGACGAACAAATTGGAGCCTATTTAGCCAGAGAACCAACAGCACAAAAGTGAACTTCCTGTATTTGTTGCTTGCTACTTGCTTGTTCGGTTTACCCTTCGATCCTGAAAGTGGAGGCAGTTCGCTCCTTCGAAACGTCTCTATATTTTTACCGCATTACAATGATCACACAACCATACGACAGTAATCTTGAAATTACATCGTTCATGTAAATTATTTATTGTATCTTTCTTTACATGCAATATACAAAATTAATACGTAAATTTGTCTCTCGTCCCATTGTTTTACTTCCCACAATAATTATCGGATTTATATTGTGTTTGTTAGTGGGTTCTATACTAAGGATGTTGGAAGGACTTAATAGTCAAGTACGGGCCCAACATTTACTTCGTAGCTGTTGTTCAAAATTGTTTATCGTATAAAAATGTAATTAAAATCTGTAATTATTGTTCTACAAGGTAAACGAAGTATTCGAAACTGTAGAGGGCGTATTTTCAAGAATATTTGTATTACACTCAAGATCGAATTAAATATTTCTGACTCAAGAGGTCTTAAATTTAGACTGCAAACAACGAAGGTTGTTTATTTCAAAGAAGCAAGTATGGAAATGAAATTGTATTTTTTTTAAACCATCAAAGCCGTGACTATGAATCTTGCAGTCTTCCTATGTTTACTTGTTAAAAGTTCGCTAGTTATTAAATTACGTATGGCGATAGCTTTATCCAAAAGGGGAAACTGCTTAAACGCCATAATGAAAGAGAAACATTCTTTGAATAAAATCTATTACTTTGTACAGCTGCCACGCACAGGCTCAGTATTTCAAAAAAAAAAAAAAAGATCACATTACAATATGTTTGAAAGAAAGCCCAAAAGCAACAATTTACAGAAAACAGAAACATTCAATAAGGGAAGGGGAACGATTCTAGCTGTAGTCCTGTTATGTATTCATATTCAGTTAGGTAAGGGAACTATGGACAGGTTATGCAGACAAACGATTTTTGGGGAGCAGTTATTTGGAGGCTAGAACTCTAAGGTAAATTTGTCTCCTTAATTAATTAAGCGTCTTGCCATGAAGACGTATGGGGGAATAGCAGTCTCATTCCACCATTTTCTAACCCGGCAGTAAATATAGTAAGTGCCAACCACATTGGCCGCACGGTGCAAGTCTTGAACCATCTTCGCACGTTCGGACACTGGGATCGTGGGTTCGAATTCCACTTGATGCATGGATGTCTGTGAGTTTAGTCTGTGTGAAGGTAGTGGCCTTGCGACGGGCTGATCACCAGTCCAAGGAATCCTACCTACCGTATATAAATTAATAAACTGAAAAAGTGGCCAAGGGCCACAGGGTCTGTAGACCCACAAAGCAAAGAGGAAACAAGATAACACTACCAATGTACAAACGTGTCGTGAGGGTTAGAACTGAACTGAACTAATTTAATATGCAGTATAAAGGCGATTATTGGCAGCCTTTAAAATTTTTGTTCCATTAACATAGCATTAATTATTCAATTAGGAAGGTATATAATTAGGAAGTTACGGATCTAGTTTCAGTTGTCAGAAATGCATATCGATTTTACTCAAATCCATGCAAATAATACAAAGAAACAGCTAACAAATGGTGGATTTTGGTTTGGTCCAGTGCCTATTGTAAACCTCTGCATACAATCCATTAGGCACTGGGCTTCTGATAGACACTGCGAGTGCTGTGTTTACGAGGTGTTATTTACACAATTATTACTGAAATTAGGCTCGTTTATCTGCGCACCGCGCTATTAATTATCGCTCTGAACCCATACTGAGTCGACTTCAGTTAAACGTTCTTTGCAAGCAATGGCTACTAAACGCGCAGACGCCCTACAGTGGCTTCACTGCGTAACGCATCCAGTCAACAGAGATTAAAGTTCAGCAACATGGCGCTAGATGGGCACGTTAAAGGGACAATGCTACGTCATGCAGTAAGGATATGGCTTAACGTGCTAACATTCAATTGTTATTCAACACGTTTCAAAGTAACGCCTGATGGGCATTTAGACTTGTCTTGACAGGAAAAGTGTACGGCCTACTTCGGTGGAGCAAACATCTGCAAACATCCAGTGATTGAGACTAGCTCTTTCTAAGGGGCCCAACTGAGTAGGTTAAAACCTTCCCTATACACCTGAAGACGGAGACAGATCCAGTCTCCGAAACGTTGTGGTTTTTTTGTCTTTTTTATATACCGGACGATGGGTGAAGTCCAAAATAAGCCAAAAGAAGTACATCTGCTAACTTGCATAACTCCATGGTGATCATGTTCGTTGGTTACAGATCCATGGCCGTAATTTCTCCTTTTCTTGCCTCGCCTCCATATTGTGCTGAAAGCATGCTGCAGAGATGAGTGCCCACATCCGTTACAAGGGGTAATATATGACTCCTATATTTATCATTAAAAGCAAAGTGGAATATGGAGCTTGGGAAATCATAACGGGTAACGTCCATTACAAAGAGAAGCGTTAAGGTTAGAAAAGTGTAAACTAGGTTCAGTGGTAGTACAGATGGGACACTGGGAGACCGCTGAACCAGCAGGCGATTATACATTTTTGTATAAAAGAGAAACGATAATTATCACCTACACATAATAAGTTTTTCCTTTACCTAGGGAAATTTGACGTAATGTGCCGATCACAGTGGCTGCGCGGTCTAAGACATGAAGCAATTCCGCCCACTCGAACACTGGAGTCGTGGGTTCGAATCCCACTCGAGGCATGAATATCCGTGAGCGTTTATTCTGTTTTTGTGTTGTTTTGTGTGTAGGCAGTGACCTTGCGACGGGCTGATCCCCCGTCCAAAGAGTCTTACCGACTGTCTAGGATTAAGAAACTGAAGTGAAACGAAGCGTTTCACAGATGCCATATTCTCCAAGTAGGAGCAACAAGACTAAAGATAGATAGATCGTAGATAGATAGATAGACAGACAGAAAGACAGACAGACAGATATGGAAGTAATATGAGTAGATTAACGATTATCGTCTATTAGTATTAGAATTATCAAAATAAAAATAGGGAATGAAAACAAGGAATCAAAATTGCATTTACTAAGAAATTAAAGAGAATGTTAAAGTCGGATAAAGCTTCCGGCACTCAGTTCAGTTTAGTTCAGTGGGGAGTGTCTTCTCTTCAGGTATTCAAGGACATAAAAATTAAAATATTGTGACATGTTGAGCTCTGAATGACGCCCCCCCCCACCCTCCGCCAGCCGTGATGCGCCGAGCGAAGCCGAAGCGAGCCGATGTTAGCCGAGTCCTAGCATCCTGGTCGCTAGGCAACGCAAGTCAACGCGGTGACGTCACCGAGGGATATCGCGGTTACTAGGCAGCCGTCAACAACTCCGGACAGCGTGGCTAGCAACAAGGCACCAGGCGACGACTGTCCGATCGAGGCTACATAAGGAGCAGCGAAGGCTATTCAGAGTCAGTTGAAACATAGCAGCCTGCGAGTTGTACTGTGACACTCGCCGAGTGCGTTATCAACAACTTCTCAGTTCGCAAGTTACGAGCTACAGCCGCGTGTGCGATAACCAGTCATATCTGGAGTGTGTAATTCAGGGGGACTTGCATAGCTCCCGCATTATTAGTACGTGAAGACTCTCGAAGAGAGTGTTAAGAGATTTTGTTCTAGGGTTTGTAAAGTGTGGAAACCCGTAACATTGTGATAATTAATTGTAGCCGTTATTTGAAGATTGTTAAATAAACCAATTAACCATCTCTACGGCGTCTTCAGTAACGAAACACGTTACAATATACAAAACTACAACTGGTCTCTCACATTAAAGCAAAGAAATCAGGATAAGTGTCTAGTATACTATTTTTTTAACTGTAACGACATGCAGTCAGGTAAAGACCGCCGACGTTTCGGAGGACCGTACTGGTTCCATCTTCATGGTCGAAGAGGAAGATAAGCAAGAAATCAACAAGAAGCTGGCGGTGAACTACCGGAGAGCACATTCATAGCCTCCGCTTGAGAACACAAAATCCAGTACACTGAGGACAGATCCGCACCAAGAAGGGAGAAACCTGTCTGCATCCTAACGGCGAGGTGAACACTATCATTACGCAATCTCATATTGCCATAGCAACGAATTATCGAGCATGAACTTAATTTATGCAGTAAGCCTCGAAAGACTGAGCAGTCTTTTGTCGTGTATCGTGTAGCATAGTATGCAGAGGAGACGGGTATGACTGACTATATGCTGGTATGAGAAGTGGGAGATTGCGTTGAACATAGGCCACGACCTATCATTCGACAAAATATGGGTCTGGAAAAGAATGCAGCAGATATCAGGGAAGTTAATGGTGCCAAAGCATATGAAGAGACTTCCCGCTCAATTCTCAACGTGAGTTGCACTAATTTCTACAAAAAGTGTATGCTCAAGCCACTGTGTTATATGTCATATGTATTGTAGCATACTTACTCTAAGCAAGAACTCTGGAGCCAGAGAAACAGCCGTTGCTAGCGAGAGGCTCTGAAACAACATTAATTTATAGTCAGAGGCTCAGTAAACATGTTCCCGTAGCAAAGGATATGCATACAACAATAGACGTGCTGTTGGAGATGATGTTTATACTCGGTCCTGCAAAGGGTATATAAAAAAAGCAACTGGAGCAACCAAGTCAGTTCTGTACATGAGTCTCTGAAGCAATGAGGCAGTTGGGAGCCACCAATCAGAGAGGACTTGAGCGC